ATAATGCAGCCAACAAAACATAAATTGTGAACGACGACTACTATGCCGACAAGCCTTGACCTGATTTCTCTTCCTCTCTCGCGGCCACACGTTCGTCGTATGCATTTACATGCATGCCAGTGTGTAGTATGTGTGAGTACATGTGAATAAGTACATTTGAGTAAGACGATGTTAGTATATGGATTATATGCAGAAGTGTGTGCTGCACTCGGGCATATTTTCATATTAACTATTTTATGCACACATTCACATACATATGTATGTACATACATAAATACGAAAATAAATATATAGTATATATGTATATATAGGAATGCATGAATATCTTACATTGCTTTCACGCACTTGTCAGCTAGTGTTGGTGCGCTTGCAATAGGTTGGAGGGAGTATGTGTGCGGCTGCAGTGCAGCGAAATTGCACACCTACATTTGTGTGTATTTATATATAAACGCGATGCATCGCAGTCATTCAGATAAGCGACTCAGGCACTTCGGTAGGCACACGCTCTCGCCATAGGCGCAGCACTTAAAGCTGCTGATCGCTGTTGCAGCGAGTATTCACTACCAGTTGCATGAATTGAAACGCCGCCGCCTCGGCTGGCCGTGCTGCCTCACAAGTTTATTGCAGTGGAAGGAAGAGCTGCCTACCTACACTCAGCCACTTCCTCCGTGCGAAGTTCGCTTGCACTTTCGTGAATTCGCTCTGTCCGAACGTTCGTACAGTGGAGTGATTAGAACTTTTTTGTAAAAGAATCACACCTTCGTAATTAGAGGCAAATATAGAAAACTATTGAAATGTGTAATGTGCCATGATTTTTTCACCTGATGCAGGGCATTCAAAAAGGCTACACCCACTAAGAAGCTTGAACCTGTACAAAGAGCTGCTCTCATTGGCATCTCCGGTGGACTACAGTGGCATTGTTACGAATTGCAATCTAAGGCTCAGGGAAGCTGGGTTTATGAAGGTGTCTGAATAAGAGCAAGCCGAATTCCAGTGCTTCAAATGCACTCCTGAAGACTTTTATCATTGCGTCTCAGGCCGTTTTTTCTCTGCGTACGTACCGACAAGAGATACGTTAATGGGAAGGAGTCGTTGGAGATGTAACGCAGTGAGCTGAGGAGAGAATGTTGAAGGGCGAGTTTTCTGAAAGTAGCTCTCCCTCAATCTTAGCTTTAGGCGTAGGAAGTATAAGTCCTGCTATGAAATGCGAAGACTCTTTCGGAAAGTTAACTATTCAAGGAGTATCAGTCCTTACTGGAAATAGCATAAATCTATTATCAGTATTGTTTTGTGGCCGATCACAGCATAATTGCTTGTAACTGCAAAGCCGATAAGCCGATAAAGAGGACATTTTGGCTCCGATCACATCGAAATGAAATCGAGTTTTGTTTCCAAACTTGCGTTCTAGCACTGAACCAATGGAACTCGTGTAGGATTAGCAAGCCCTGGTCAACGACCCGCTTCTGTGAAACTGCAACATGCTTTTGGCCTAGAGTAGAACGCAGAAAATCTGCTGAACTACTTGCTCTTACAAAAGTTTCACTTGCAACCTTCGTTGCACATTGTACATACTGCACATTCTTCAATAGACATTCATATGGTGAGGCTAAAAATCTTATCGGCCGGTAGTTGTCAAAGTTGTATGAAGAGGCGTAAGGTCTAAACATCCCGTTTACTGCTTCATAGTTCAGTCTTTGCAAGATTAAGGTTCCTTTAGTCTTTAAGTCACAAGAGTCCGACAATTTTGAGTCACAAAATTCTCTGCATTTTCTTTAATATCACATTCTCTAATTCTTAATGTCAATATTCATTTCGAACCGATGGTTATTGTAATTTCATCTTTACTTGTGGCGTTCTCTAACCTATAAAAATCGGTTTGGCCGACGGAAAGAGTCCTCGTGTGAACAAAGCCTATGTTTCTTCGAAAGAGTATTTATATTCTGAAACCATTATTGAGCTATTTTCCGTCTTTCATTCGAACGTTTGCCAAGCAAATTTAGGCGCGTTCTTTGCGTACTGTACCATTGTGCATCACTTGCGGCGCTACGTTTCGTTTGAGTCCAACGTATATGCGCCTATTTGAGAGTGTTTGCACCGCAGCGAAGTGCAGTGGCAGCGTTAGAGAGTCAAGCATTTAAGTGTTCAAGCGTCCAACTAATACCAAATCACAGCATCTGGCGATAGAAAATAGTGAAAATACACTTTTACTTTCATTTTCTTCGCTGCACTTCAATGCACCGACGCTTTGGTGGAGATGATAATTGCTAGCAGTCATTGCTTTGCCGCTGGTGCAATGGTGTTTGTTGTGAGGTTTTTATATTTGTTTTTTTTTTTCTGTTTTTGGTTTTGTGACACTACTGGGGAAAGCAAAGTGACGACCACGCTCACGAAACCCGTTTCACAGCCGTGATAAATTGCATGCAATACCGCACACCGCAGCCCGTCGTCACTTTTGCTTGTGCATTTTCTCATTTTCTATTATATATTTTTTTTTTTTTTTTGGATTTTGCTGCGATTTTGATTTCATTTTCATTTCGCTGTTCGCAGTTCGCTTTTGCTTTCTTCGTCGCTTGCATATTTACAATTAATTTAAAAAGTGGTGTCCGCGTCATGCCACTATGCTGTGTACAAACATGCTTGGGTGTCGTTGTGGTTGACGTGCAGTTTTGTTCGTTGTTGTTGTTAGTTTACACTGACTTGGGGAAAAATAAATATTTTCATTATTACTAATTTAGTCCCAGTTGACAGTTGTTTGGCTAGTTGCTGAGCTGTTGGCTGGCTGCTAGCAAACCGGGTCAATGTCACTGTGGACTCGCTGGTCGCAGCGAAGGCGCGCGCATTGTTTTTGTTTGCTGTTCGCTTCGACGCGCCTCTTAGCTTGGCCGAGCGCACATTATGAACGATGGCGTTGGCGATGACGAGGCTTAGCAGTTTCTTGACCGGACACTAACTAGTTGGGCCAACTTTAACTGCATTTTGATATAAATTATGAACGGAAACGGAAATGGGTTTCATATTGGGCAAAGCTTTTAATATATACACAAACAATATGTAGCCAAATTGTTGAGTGTTGCAAATGTTGCTAGCTTTGCCACCTTGTCACATGCAAGATATAGTAAAACCAATTGAATGCATGTACGTACATTAGGGTGGATGTTATTTATCACGTTGGTTTTTTTACAATTATGCTAAGTTTGTAATCGAAGTTTATAATTCTACGTAAGTAACATCGGAGACCCTGTAAAATATGTTTATATATGATCAGCATCATGAGTGGCGTCGATTTAACCATGTCGTCCGTCCATTTGTCTGTACATATGTACATACAAGGTGCGTTGCAAAGTAAACTTTTTGAATCTAGCGCCCYCTGTTGGCGCCATCTACATATATGTCGACTAGTGCGTTAGAATCTGCTATCTTTATCGGTTGTCCAGTTATGATTTCATGACATTCATTGATTGGAAGTGAAGTTATTGCGTTTTAAGTGTCAGTATGTTTGTGTTATCGTTGCGAAAATGAGCTTCGAGCTAAGCTTCAAAGAGCCAACATTAAATTTTGTTTTAAAATTGGTAAAACTTTTACCGAAACGTTTCAATTGATGAAACAAATTTATGACGATGATTGCCTATCGTATAGCAGAGTGCACGAGTGGTCTCAACGTTTTCAAAGTGGTCGGAAATTCCTCAAAACTGTGCGTGAATTCATCAAAAATCAGCTGAAATCATCATTGAAATTCATGGAAGTGAAATTGAACATCTCCAAAACATCGATTTATCGCATTTTGACCGAGCATTTGCGCTTACGAAAGTTGTTCCGCACTGACAACCAAAAATTCCTCAGAATCCAACATTCGAAGGACGATTATTTGACCAAAAACCACTTATTAACCATTAACCACTCCCCGTATTGACCTGATAAGGCACCGTGCGACTGCTTCCTTTTCGGAAAAATGCATTTGCCTATGAAAGGAAAGCGTTATGCAGACGTAAAGGCCATTCAAAAGGCTTGGACCGGCATACTGGCGACTATACCGGCCAACGAGCTAAAACACTCGTTCAACTTGCTTTCGGACCGTGCAAAAAGCTGTATTGAAGCAGAAGGAGATTTTTTTGAATAAAATAAATTGATTTTGCCGAAAAACCCATTTGTTTGAAGTCCTGTTTACTTTGGAAAGCACCTTGTATAGTATAACGAAATTTGTTTATTTGGCAAAATTTGGCATGTGATATTGTCCGACACAGCGGTATAATAGCCGAAGAGTGGTGCAGATTGGACTACTATGTATACTATACTACATATGTACTATATTTGCAGCTGTCATACAAACAGAACAGTCTAAATCAAGGTCTTGTATGGAAAACTTTTTTCGTTTGACGAGATATCTTATATCATTTTTTATAAAAAATAATCCCATAAAAGTTATAGGAAGTTAAAATTATATAAAACATTTTTTTAGAGCGGGAAATTCTGTACCAATATGAAAAAAGCAGCTTGGGAAATAACAGACGCCCCAACGAACATACAAATGTATTTATGTGTGTGTATAAATAGTTGGAATTCTTGAGTTTCTATGGAACTGGTGATATAATCTTATTACATATATCCGTGATGTGTAAATCAGCAATTTATATTTCCACCTAACTTCAACGAATTCTCAAGGCGGGAAACTCCCGTGACCACAGCAGGTGGGCGCAGCCCAGTCGCTTGCCACCCAGTAACTCGCTGCTACCTATGAGCATACGCTTTTCCCAATCAAACCGGTTAGCTGAGAAACCGATTTGTCAACTGATTGACTTTACACACATACATATATCCATATGCATTCATACGTTTTACTATAAAAGCAGTTGAGAATAAAATTTGATTACATGCATACATGCATACGTAACACACAGTTACATTTATTATTTATTTATTAGGAAAATCGCTAGTAAAATTCGTATGTTTGGTACGCTTTGGCAATTTATTTTATAATTTATTATTATTTCTTCTCTTCACAGATACTGAAATTCCAGTTATAAAGCAATCAACAAGTCCAGGCCCTTTGTTGACACACCATCAGCATCATCATCACCAGCAACAACAACAGCAACTGCAACAGCAACAAGCAACGCATCAGCAAGCACAGAGCAATACATACGCGGGATCTCCAAGTGTTATACACATAAAATCCGAACAAAATGTTGTACTTTCTCCACCACACCTCCAGCAGACAGCCCCACAGCAACAGCTTGTTAATGGCCTGTCACAGCATGGCGGCCCACTCTCAGGGTCAGGTGCAAATAACCAGCTCCAACCACTAGCCATACCACACCGGCCATTGCTACACAATCTGCTGAGTGGTGGCTCGATACACAATTCACATCATAGAACCTACGGATCAGCTACAACCGGTAGGCAACAAGCTCTTATACAGTTATTTATAATTTCGTAACAAACCAAATGTTTTTGCTAACTACGCTCATAGTTTGAATTGAAAACTTTAATGCTCATTAAGGATAGACAAAATAATATTTGATTTCAAATTAATTGTATTTGAAAGGTTCCTTTCCGCCAAGCCCTGCCGATAGTGGTGTCTCTGACGTGGACAGTTCTAGCTCTGGTGGTCAGCCGTGCAGTGATGAGATAAAAGCGAGGCTTGGCATACCGGCCCATTGTCACCCGCATGCATCGCATATACCATCTGGCACGTTTCTACACCCCAATCTCTATCAAAACTCAGCGTCCTTACGGAACATATGGAATCGAAGTGTTGGAAGTAAGTGCATACAATTTATAAAATTTTTATTTACACACAAAAAAAGAACTCTTAAGCTAAACTTGAGGGGAGTGAATATATTAAGGGGTTACATAGGTTCCCTTGGAGAAAAAACATTCAAAATTGGCAGACATTTGGCAAACATGAATAATTCACGAAAAAATCCTGATCCAAAAAAAAGTACTTCGTCCAAGTCTTTAAGTATTGTATCTCCAAGGTCTGTGTAAAATTTCATGAATATCGGTTGAGTAGTCCTCGAGAATTCTTGTCAAACTACTTCAAAAACACAGTTTCGAGAATACGGTGCACTTAGGCTAGCGCACAAATTCTCAAGACTGTACCTCCGAAACTATTACTTGCATCAATTTGAAAGTTTAGGACAATATTCTAGAGATGTTGTAGAACTTAATAAGACAATAAAAAAATCGATTTTTGAAACTAAAAAATTGGCATGTGACTACGATTTCAGTTCTTCTAGCAAACTAAACTAAACTAAAATAATATTAGTCTAGAATAATGTCGAATGTTTGGTTTTACGGAAAAGTTAGACATAACTGTCAGATAACTGCCTGAAAAACCAAGTATTTTACCACTATTTTTGCCTGGGTTGATCTTTATAAAAATACCGAAAATTGAAGATATGAATAGTTTCAGACATAGGCAATTCTATAAAAAAGACAAAAATGTCTCTAAACCATAGTATCTGAACTATGTCAGAAAAATACCAACACATAAAGTACATATGTATGTATGTACCTCCGAAAATAATTTGAATAATTAATATTTTGACAAATCCTCTTGTAGACATATTCTGGAACAGTTTGGACTTTGAATAAAAAATATCGCGTTTTTATCAATGAAAATTTTTAATTAAAAATATATTTTTTATCAATGAAAACTTTTGATAAAATAATCGATTTTTTTTCTAGGGCAGAAAACTCCCTTAATGTTTTCTCCAATATATTCCATACTATATGGTCCTCTGTTCCAATGTATAATAAAATTCAATGACGCTATTGAAAATAGTTTACATTGTAGGTTTTTTTAGTAAACAATTGCAGAGCAATTTAACTGTAAAGCTTTGGTTTGCTTAATGGTTAGTTTATCTGATTCAGTGAGCGCATGCGTAAATGACAGAGCCGCCGTTAAGCGAGCAACTTTATATGAATATATTGATATTTATTAAAAAATTTTCACAACTCACATTAAAAATTGTGAGTGAACGAATTTTCCATTTTCGCCATGCAATGTGAGTGGCATCCCAAACGCCTATGTAGTATTTAGCAAGAAGCACACACACTTAAGCAAATTCAAAAATTATGTTCACTCACCGCTCACTCGTATGCACACATACGAACATATACATATATATCCCCCCTTTCGAATGTGTTGCCGCGCTTTAACCGCTATTCTCCAGTTATTGCAAAAACTCTCACTCTTAGCCTCGTCACACACAAAGGCACGTCGCTGCATACTACGGTAAATACTTGTGCGTGTAGCCGAATGTGTATTTACCATATGTATGCTTGTAGATATGCATGCATATTTCCACATTCGCTGCCGTGTTTGGCGCTTGCGTCGACGCTAACTGCGCTGGCTGGCATGCATTCCCGCTGACGCGTCGACAACCCTCCTCCCAACCGTATTTCGTATAGCCGCGCAAAATCAAATGCATAAAAATATGTACAAGTACATACATACACACATATGTGTGTGTGTGCGTACATGTGTATATCGTTTGCGTCAGTTTGTTATGTATGTATGTATGTTGTTATATGYGTACTGGCTATATATGCATTTCGCTAAGTTCGTCGTTTGTTGTTTATATTTTTGTATGTATGAATGAATTTGTGGTCATCGACACATTGCCTTTGCACGAAATCTGAAGGTCACAACTACAAACATTCAGCGCCGTAGCAAGACGAAGTGTTGCAAAGTGAGCGCCAAAGCAATGAGCATGAGAGAAACGCGGTGTGAGCAAAACTGACGTTCAACAGTGGAGACTGAGTACGCCAGACTAGCCCCCTAAAAATAAGATATCTCTTTGAATTCTACACATTCGCCAATGTGCTTATACCTTACACACAGCTATTTGTAGTCGCATTCAGTTGTTTACAGGCACGCTCACAGTAGGTACGAGATGTTTGCATTCAAGTGAGAAAGCCGATAGAATGTGAGTGCGCTTCTAAGCTTTCATAGGGACGGATTTAAAAATTATATTAAGCAAAATAAATGAATGTAATAATTTCGCAATTTTGTTTAAAATATGTTTAAGTGCCCATTACAACATCTGCGTACGAAAAAACAGATTGAATCAGTTTTTGAAATATTAAAATATAAGTTAGTTGCGGTTAATATGCTAATGTAAAAGCAAAAATATATTATTTTTATTTTGTTTTCCTTTTTATATATATTTTGAGAATTCGAGTTCGTTTCAGTATGATTTTTTTTTTACTTTTTTTCTCATGTTATTTATAGAGGTATAAAACCTAGAAAGGTATATTCCGTATATTTTTAGATAAGTCATCCTGGTTTTCCCTTTGAACAGACCAACCCAAACAAATTTGAATATACGCCTTAATTTCGATTTGTTTATGCTTTTTTCCGGTTGGAAAATTATAGGTGTAAGTTAATTCTAGACTATACTTCCAAAAAAATATTATATAGATTAAAGCGGGTAAATTTTTTTTATAAAAATATGGAGACTATGGGTCGTCTTCGAGCCAGCGATCTGACCGATTGCGACAAATAACTAATAGAATTTGAAAATGAAATAAAAATAGAAATTAAAAATGCGCCAACTGAGGAACACAATTTTATGATCCCTAAAAAACCTGACTTTGTTGGGATCTCGGAGCGTACGCACGTCTAAAGCACTAGAGACATGTCTTCCGTCTATCACAACATAATCGATCTAGTTGGTGATATCTAGAACCGCAGATATGCAGGTAGCTTCATTAATTTTTCTGGAATCTGTTACTACAGATAACCATATTTCGGTCCCCAGGAAGCCTGAACTCATTTGGCGCTGTTTCATCATGGAGACTGATTTCACCGATCGTTGTACCAAAAAAGGTATCTTGCCCACTCTGGCGTTAAAGTCGCCAAGCACGATTTTGAAAAACTTCGCTTTAATGCGGATTATGGTTAGACGTTTATCCACCCGGGTGAATGCCGGAACTCGGTGACTGAATCTCTTTCCCTCCACGAATCCTCATCGAACTTGCGGTGCCTTTATATGGCCACTGTAGTAAATAACAGAAGGACCTACTCATACCAGTCCTTGTGCCGTCCGTCACACTTTTTGGACGACGATGATATCAGCCAGTCCTCTTAAGAGGACATCAACCAGCTGGACAGCGGTTCCTACCCACTTAAGGAACGGTACATTCCAGGTGCATGCAAAAGAGGGGTATCTCATCCGAGGCTGTTTTATTCTATTCAGTGAAAGTGTGGCGGGTCCCAAAAATAGCGCAGAACCCTGAGAAGGGATGTTTCACCTTTTTACTTTAGCTCGTCTCCAAACGAATGTTTTTTGGCTACACAGCGGATACTTGGTATAAGGCCGGAAGTCGAGCCATATGTAAAAGAATCGTTTTTTGCCAATCCCAAGTGAATGGCGTTCAGATATTTTTACACATGACTTCAGCCTCCTGTTGTTTATATTATTGATTATAAATATTGCGAGAGTAAGAAATACTTTCTTCGGCTGCACTTGAACTTAGCCGTKACTTATTTGTTTAACGTGAAAATATTTATCTATACTAACCACTTATATCAAATTTTTTCTTTATTTTTGTATTTTAGTGCCCGATGGTTATTACATGCCACTAGGTAGCAGCACTAGTCCATCCAATAATGCGTCGGTGAGTAGCAGCAGTGGCCCGAATAGCGGCGCAGTCGGCACCCTGAATAGTGCAAACTCAGCAGCATACTCCACGTCACCCTACTTTACAACTCCCTCCCCGCCACGCGCTAATCCCGGTCTAACGCCACATCATTCCCTGCACGCACACCAACAACATCTACACCATCATCAGCATTCCACGCTAGCGAATAGCCCAGCGAGCACGGCTGGAGGTGTGCTGCATCAATCGAGTGTGATTCAGCCTACAACGTCCAATGTCAACTATGATCTCTCGTACATGCTGGAGCTTGGTGGTTTTCCACAGCGCAAAGTGAAAAAACCACGAAAACCCAAAATCGAAATGGGTGTTAAGCGACGCAGCCGCGAAGGCTCCACAACATATCTGTGGGAATTCCTGCTCAAACTTCTGCAGGACCGCGAATACTGTCCACGCTTTATTAAATGGACCAACCGTGAGAAGGGTGTATTTAAGCTGGTGGACTCAAAAGCAGTGTCGCGACTATGGGGTATGCATAAAAACAAACCGGATATGAATTACGAGACAATGGGACGTGCATTACGGTACTATTACCAGCGCGGCATACTGGCGAAAGTAGATGGCCAGCGGCTGGTGTATCAATTCGTGGACGTGCCAAAGGATATTGTGGAAATCGATTGCAACGGAGTGTAAAAGTATTGGATGTGCACGCATAAATATAAAATATGTAGAAAAACATTTTAAGCACTGTGCATTCCATAAAGGTGAGTATTGCCATATTCGCACCGATCTTTGTATATATTAGGGTGGGTCAAAAGCTGCGAATATTTTTTCTTTTGCTTGGTATGCTGAAAAATGGGTACTTAGACAACTCTACGTAAATCTCTTCTAGTATGAGCTCTTAATTGCAATGGAAGGTCCTCTGATTTACAGTTTTCTATATTTCAGACATGAAAAAATATAGCGTTTACTAGATTTAGTAGGGAGCTGAATTGAGATTGAACTTCGGACAAAAACTCAACTTTTCTGATTTAGTATAATATTTTTTCTTCATTGAGTTATAATATAAGTTAAAATTTCAGTTAAAATGTTCATAAAAAAGAAGAATTTGTTTTAAAATAATCAAACTACAAAAATATTTTTTAAGCAGTAAAAATCGTAAGAGACCCTTTGTAGAGCATTAAATTTCTGAAATTATGAAATACTTTTTAAGTAGTTGTTTTTGAGCTTTGAATTTTTTCTTATTTGTTGATAAAAAAGAGAAAATTGTAAGGCGAAGATGAGATTGAAACGTGTTTTTTATAGTTCTTTTACTATTATTATTATTTTATTTTTATTGTTTTAATGACGTGTTTCTAATTAATTTTTTTCCAGTATTTTAGATTAAAAAATT